GGACATTGGTGTTCCCCTTCTTATCATTAACCCACAATTAACCATTTTGTCTGTTCATTGAGATACTGTCATGGAGGCATTTTTAAGCGTGTGCATAACTTTTAAGCGTGTGCATTAGTGATTGTGAGTTCTCCTTCAGCTGCACGCACTTTGGCTTCTGTGTGCATGTGCTTCTCGTGCTGTTCATGCATAATGTGAAATGTCATTGTGATTAGATGCTGCGTTCAGTTGCAACACAATGGTGTTGTAAATTTTCACCTCAACAATAGTTACATTCAAATCATAAGTTCCAAATCAGGGCTGGGTTGAGTCCAAATTTACTACGTGGGTACCTGACCCTTACGATATATACGTAGTATATATGTAAACATCACTGTACTATTTCTTCATTAAAAAAATGGTATAAGTGCAATATCCAACAATGCCACATTCAAGTTCAGTGTGTTGACTCAGGAAGGAATCTGTTCACGCTATCAGAAACTGTCAACTTCTGGCTGGACTAAAAAACTTAAGGACATGTTCACTCCTATTTTGACTGGATTCCAAACCTCCATACAACTTGGGACAAAGACAGATAGAGCAAACCCTAACCCTAACCCTGTACCACCACATCCCTGTACCACCACATCCCTGTCTCAGGTCCACCTCTCTCAGCACCCGAATCAGCGCCGTTCCGCATCGCCCTCCCTTTCATAGGATTTGTTTGTTTGTTGTTTAACAACGCACTCAGCAATATTCCAGCTACATGACGGAGGTCTGTAAATAATTGAGTCTGGACCAGACAATCCAGTGATTGACATCACGAGCATTGATACACGCTTTTCGGATATGATGACATGTATCAACCAAGTCAGCGAGCCTGACCACCCGATCCCATTAGTCGCCTCTTACGACAAGCATGGTCACCTTTTACGGCAAGCATGAATTGCTGAAGACCTATTCTACCCCGGATCTTCATGGGTTCCATTTAAGGAAGAGCCTCCTACATCATGAGCTGCCTCCTCAAACAGCAAGCCAATATTGACACCTACTTCACCAGGTCCACCGCCTTCAGTACCCTACTAAGAGCCAACAGCAGGAACACAATCAAACCCAAAGAGCCGAAAGGTGTAGTTTACAAAATTTACTGCAACTGTGGACAATCTTACATAGGTGAAACATCCCGCCCAATCAACAACAGAATCAAAGAGCACAAAACCTCCACCATCAATTCAGGCGGTAAATCAGCCATCTCGGACCATATCAGCAACTGCTCCAATCACAACATCAACTTGGAAAACGTCCGAATCCTCTCCGACAACCTCCATTACTTCACTAAAAGCAAACTTACAGAAGCAGTCCACATTCACTGCCACAAGCCATCAATCAAGAGAGATCAAGGCTATTTCATCCCATCCACCTACTATGAACTCATCAAGCAATAATCACCAGACCTATGTAAACTTTAATCCTGTTTAATTGGCTTCTTGTTGCTATTGGCTTCCACCTATGTGTTCTCTGCCCATCGTGTTGTGACAGTATTGTCCTTCTGTTGTCATCACTTACTCATGTTATCCCACTCGTGTATGCAATTGTTGTTACTGTTCATCCTCTACTGTTAATCCTCCACCTACTATATACATTCTGTACAATGTTCCTCATTCAGAGTCTCTCACTCTAGAAGCAATACTAAACCCACAAAATAAACTAGAAAACTTCAAGGCCTTAGGCGTATCCCTAATCTAAACGGAACTAATAAAACGCATCTAAAAACACTATAATCTACCAAATCAAAATCACATAAACAAACAAACATCCACCATACCCAGCTCCCTTAGTTCTACTCCCCAACCCCATCGGCATCTATTCCAAATCTCAAAATTCCCAAATTCTATATAAGCAACACCTAAAGCCCCCTCTTGGGTTGCACACACCACTTTCGCCCCTTTCGGAAACACATTAAATGGCCTGGCCGGGCCCGTGTGCGAAATACGCATCAGTCAGAAAGCGCACGTTAAATCTTCAAAGTAAGTAAGTATGTAAGTATGTCCTCATTCAGTCTTGCTTGACAACAGTGTAAGGATCTATACCGAAACGTCACCTTTACAGTATTAAAAGTTGTTATCCAAAAATTGTGTCTACTTTGTTATCAGTCAACTTCAAAGTAATGCCTATCAAACAATTAATACCATGTGGATTCTCAAAAACTCAAACAATTTGCTTGTTAAATTATCTGTGTGAAAAGTCAATGTAGGACAGCTAGGCAAGAAGTAGGCATATCCATGACGACCACGTGTGCTCCCCTGCTTGCTTATCTCTTTCTTTCTTTACATGAGTCAGAATTTCTGCTCGGTTGGCAAACTTGAAACAATGGAATTTGGGCAAGAAAATGAACTTAAAGGGGCACTGATCTAACGCAATTCCCCGGGACTGGTTGTTGCCTTTGTTATTGCTTTTTCTCAGTGAGTACCCGGATGTATAGCAGAAATCTAGACTAGTTCGCGACCTCTGCTGCGCCATTCGTAAGCGCATTAGTCACTTTTATGGACACCGGTAGTAATTAGGGCGTATGGTCACATTGATCAACAAAATGAAATACAGTTTTCGAGATAATAAGGAAATGTAGGTATCTTTGTGGGTAGCATCGGTAATGGTGACAAAGTTTTGATAAGTCACTTGCTTCGTAATTTTGCGATTTTCGTTTACACTATTTTGACTTGCAACATAAAGTAAATATTTCACCTGAGCATTGCTTTTTTTTATAGTGTGTATATTATTTTACTGTCAAAATGTGTAACATATTTATTAAACGTCTAAATATTCAGTTATTTTACAAATTGACTGAAAAACATTTCCATCTCTATTATTATGATAACGAATTCCAAACATTTTGATGTTTAATGTCATCACCAAGAGACTGAAAATGTTACGTTGAAAAGTACATTTCTATGTTGTTTGGCTTCTAATCCTACATAATAATCTGTTGTGATGTTTGTAGGCCCTTTTGATAGTCTTAATCAATCTGGACAGATTTTTTAGACAAAATGACTGAAATATTTACACATTTTACAAATTGCCTGAGAGAATCACATTTACAAATTGACGGTAATATATCAACGCTTACAAAGGAAAAGACCTGTGAAAACAACGTCTATCGCGCATTGAAGAATTTCCCAACCAAGACATAGAGAAACAAGAACGAATTATCGGTTCAAATGAAGGAAAACAAAATGCAAATACCATAATTACAACCCACAAAATTTATGTGTATAAATTTAAGGCAGCTTCCTTGTTCGAGGAATGTATCCGTGAATATCCACACAAAGGAACAATATCCCACTCGTCTGCAGCTGTACAAAGAAACTTATTCGATGTCACGTGCCTCTGTAACAATCAAATATTTTAAAAGATATATATCGTTTCGGGATATTATAACCCGTGTTCGTTTCTCAACTGATCACTTGGATTGTTTCAGGTGTTTCACATAGGTGTCAAGTCTCAAGGGTCGGCTGAGAAAGTCCACGTGACAACTATTTTCATAACGTCCACGGTTCCTAAAAAATCCATTGAGTGATAGATAACAATGATCAATTAATCAACGTATTATCAGTTAACCCTTTGAACAAAGTATGTTGTTTTTACTTGGGCACTTCACGCCATGATATGATAGTATTCCCTTTGTTTTAGTAAACCTACACATGTAAACACTCACTTTTGACATATCCACTATGCAAGATAACAGTGATTAATCAATCAACATAATTTCTGTAAATCCTTTGATGACTAGGAACGATCCGTTGATTTACAAAAAAAAGTAAATCAACTGATCATTCATCTCTTGCTGGGCTGCCACGTGCATATTACATAACACACATTTCAAACCTGGATTTAGATTGAATAATTACCCCAGACACAATAAATGCAAAAAGGAGCCCTTGTCAGGTAATCTAAGTGGTGCTACCACTAATTGTACCTGTAATAAATTCATTAACTTAGCATCAAGTGAATGACGACAAATACACAAGTGTAGGGTTATACGAGAAAACGTGGATGACAACAAGGGAGTAGTAATCGTATTATCGACGCAATCCGAAATCCGAAAATGCTTTCACTGCATGGATACTTTTTTTAGTATTAAACTATAACCATCTGGGGTATTTCCAAATGACGACATCCGATGAGCTCCGCCGTTCTTTTAGTCTGTTTGTTTAAGCTGAAGAAATGAATTAACATGCGCCCTTTGTCAAAATCTTTATAGATCACAGTTAACCAATCAGTGTTTATGCAAAAATGCGTAAAACAAATATTGCCTCCAGCCTCCAAGTTTATTTAACTGTCCTTGCAGACGGTAGCCCAGTCTCTGGTCACACTCAGTTGCGTTGTGTATCATCAGGGTACTCACGGGGGAAAAAACAATAACAAAGGCAACAACCAGTCCGGGAAATTGCGTTAGATCAGTGCCCTTTTAAGTTTCGGGTCTGACATCGATAAATAATGGTCAAATAGTAAATTCCCTTCTACTGATATTCCCATCTGAGCAAGAAATATAGGAGTGAGTGAGTGAGTGAGTTGGGGTTAACGCTGCTTTTAACAGTACATGTATTCCAGTTATATCACGGCGTGTCAGCTTAATGTGGGAGGAAAGCCCGAAGTGATGCAGGTCTCAGATGTTTACAACTTCAGTGAAACCCACGAGCACGGGTATGGTGCTGACAAACCTAGAAACATAATCGGGGCGAACCGGGATACGAACCCACAATCATAGGTTTCTGGCATGCCAAAGGGACGCAACTCTGCACAGCGAATCACGGCACCTTAATTGACTGGTCCACCCGTGCCCCCAAGAAATATAGGAGACAAGTGAGATCATTTCTCACTTTAATATGCATGCATAAAGATTCAGAGTGACAGAACGGTCTCCACAAGACTGCATTACAAGAGGGATGACTTCAACTTTCCAGTTGTCAGCTTTTCCTTTATACTGAGCAAAATTCCTGCTTTTACTATTATTATGAACTTACTTCCCATTCTCGCAGTTGAAGCCGATGGATCCAGGAAATTGCCCAAGCTTCTTGTCAGCATGGAAGTGGAACTCACCCAGACCAATGGCGACCATAACATATTGAGGTTTAAATGCAAGGAGTTCAATCTCAAAGTAAGCCAGGGATTTGTTGATTGGAGTCTTGGACATGAAGGACTGTGTTGTGTTCGTGCTGAAAGAATAATAACTGTCATAGTTTTCTGCAGCCAACAAGAGATCTGTTCCTTCTGACTTCCTAACAGGGCAAATCCTTGTATACAGATGAGTCTTGCATTCTAGCTGCATTGGAGGGGCATCCTAACCCACTAGGACTTGGTCTCCATGTGATACAAGAGTTATACATGAGGACTTGGTCTCCATGTGATACAGGAGTTATACATGAGGACTTGGTCTGTATGAGATTCAGATATTATACATGAAACTATACAAATATGATATATGACACAATACAATAGTCACCAGAGAGTTGAATACTACAAAAAGCTAGAGTCACCAGGGAGTTGAATACTACATAAAGCTTTAGTCACCGAGAGTTGTATACATAATAAAGCTACAGTCACCAGGGAGTTGAATACTACATAAAGCTACAGTCACCAGAGAGTTGAATACTACAAAAAGCTAGAGTCACCAGGGAGTTGAATACTACATAAAGCTTTAGTCACCGAGAGTTGAATACTACATAAAGCTATAGTAACCAGGGAGTTGAATACTACATAAAGCTACAGTCACCAGAGAGTTGAATACTACAAAAAGCTATAGTCACCAGGGAGTTGAATACTACATAAAGCTTTAGTCACCGAGAGTTGAATACTAGATAAAGCTATAGTCACCAGGGAGTTGAATATTACATAAAGCTACAGTCACCAGGGAGTTGAATCCTTAATAAAGCTACAGTCACCAGGGAGTTGAATACTACATAAAGCTACAGTCACCAGAGAGTTGAATACTACATAAAGCTACAGTCACCAGAGAGTTGAATACTACATAAAGCTTTAGTCACCAGGGAGTTGAATACTACATAGAGCTATAGTCACCAGGGAGTTGAATACTACATAAAGCTACAGTCACCAGGGAGTTGAATACTACATAAAACTGCATCAACCAGTGTGTGGGATACTACCTTGCATTTGTGGACATGAGAGTGCCATCATCAGACAACCTCAATAAGTAACGCCTCCCCATTGTCAGCTGATTCATCACTGGAGGCTACTACATAAAGCTTTAGTCACCGAGAGTTGTATACATAATAAAGCTAGAGTCACCAGGGAGTTGAATACTACATAAAGCTTTAGTCACCGAGAGTTGTATACATAATAAAGCTACAGTCACCAGGGAGTTGAATACTACATAAAGCTACAGTCACCAGAGAGTTGAATACTACAAAAAGCTAGAGTCACCAGGGAGTTGAATACTACATAAAGCTTTAGTCACCGAGAGTTGAATACTACATAAAGCTATAGTAACCAGGGAGTTGAATACTACATAAAGCTACAGTCACCAGAGAGTTGAATACTACAAAAAGCTATAGTCACCAGGGAGTTGAATACTACATAAAGCTTTAGTCACCGAGAGTTGAATACTAGATAAAGCTATAGTCACCAGGGAGTTGAATATTACATAAAGCTACAGTCACCAGGGAGTTGAATCCTTAATAAAGCTACAGTCACCAGGGAGTTGAATACTACATAAAGCTACAGTCACCAGAGAGTTGAATACTACATAAAGCTACAGTCACCAGAGAGTTGAATACTACATAAAGCTTTAGTCACCAGGGAGTTGAATACTACATAGAGCTATAGTCACCAGGGAGTTGAATACTACATAAAGCTACAGTCACCAGGGAGTTGAATACTACATAAAACTGCATCAACCAGTGTGTGGGATACTACCTTGCATTTGTGGACATGAGAGTGCCATCATCAGACAACCTCAATAAGTAACGCCTCCCCATTGTCAGCTGATTCATCACTGGAGGCTGCAACACCAAAGCAACAATGTACTTACAGGAAAATTACTTTTTATCATACACATACAATGTCCATCTGACGTCTTATATATACAATGTCCACCTGACGTCTGATATATACAATATCCACCTGACGTCTGATATATACAATATCCATCTGACGTCTGATATATACAATGTCCACCTGATGTCTGATATATACAATATCCATCTGACGTCTGATATATACAATGTCCACCTGATGTCTGATATATACAATATCCACCTGACGTCTGATATATACAATATCCACCTGATGTCTGATATATACAATGTCCATCTGACGCCTGTTATATACAATGTCCTCTTGACATCTGATATATACAATATCCATCTGATGTCTGATATATACAATGTCCACCTGATGTCTGATATATATAATGTCCATCTGACGTCTGATATATATAATGTCCACCTGACGTCTGATATATGCAATGTTCACCTGACGTCTGTTATATACAATGTCCACCTGATGTCTGATATATACAATGTCCACCTGATGTCTGATATATACAATGTCCACCTGATGTCTGATATATACAATGTCCACCTGATGTCTGATATATTTACCCATGTAACAATGTAGATATCAGTGTCTATATTCACCTAATGTCTAATCATCTAATTCATCTGGTACCTGACATATACAAGATATATATATATATATTGTAGACATCAGCGGCTATTCTCTCAAGTGTTACATTGAGGATATCAGTGTTTATTTACCCATGTAACAATGAAGATATCAGTCGCTATTCAACCCCATGTAACATTGTAGATATCAGTGGCTATTCACCTGACTATAACAATGTAGATATCAGTGGTTATTCACCCAAGTGTAACATTGTAGATATTATGACTATTCACACAAGTGTAACATTGTAGATATGACTATTCACACAAGTGTAACATTGTAGATATTATGACTATTCACACAAGTGTAACATTGTAGATATTATGACTATTCACACAAGTGTAACATTGTAGATATTATGACTATTCACACAAGTGTAACATTGTAGATATGACTATTCACCAAAATGTAACATTGTAGATGTGATGTATATTCAACCAAGTGTAACATTGTAGATATCAGTGGCTATTCACCTGAGTGTAACATTGTAGATATCAGTGGCTATTCACCTGAGTGTAACATTGTAGATATCAGTGGCTATTCACCTGAGTGTAACATTGTAGATATCAGTGGCTATTCAACTGAGTGTAACATTGTAGATATCAGTGGCTATTCACCTGAGTGTAACATTGTAGATATCAGTGGCTATTCACCTGAGTGTAACATTGTAGATATCAGTGGCTATTCACCTGAGTGTAACATTGTAGATATCAGTGGCTATTCACCTGAGTGTAACATTGTAGATATCAGTGGCTATTCACCTGAGTGTAACATTGTAGATATCAGTGGCTATTCACCTGAGTGTAATGTGGTGCACAGAAGTTTAGAATCTGGACTTGGTCATCTTTGCCGAAAAGTCCAACCATGAAGACACATCTGTTCCCATAGGATGAGCTGAACCTGAGCGGTGCCTCTGCAACCTGCAGGTGAGAAGAAAACAGAGAGTGGGACTCAAGTGAAGACACAGGCACTCCACATTAATACAACAGACAGTTCTTACCTAGCGATTTAACTGAGATTATGCACAGAAAGAAACTGTTGATAATGTTATATTGTCTTGAAACAAGGCTTCATTGAAGGTCTGGGTAGGTCCCCATGACCTTGTTTGTCCAGGTCAGTTCAACTGTTGTCATGGAAACAAGGCTAGGCGAAGGACTGGGTAGGCACATTTGACCTGTCTGAGTGTTTGGGCCTGTTTATGCCCCGTTTTTCCTTCAATCATGTACTGTAATGATGAGAAGATACTCACTTGATTCCCCTCAAACCATGCTGACTGTTCATGTGCACTAACCTTGGTTCCCTGTTGACTACACTGAACTCCACAGTGACAGCTGCTGTAGACTAACCTTGGTTCTCCCTATACTGATCACCGCAGTGACAGCTGCTGTGGACTAGCCTTGGTTCCCCCTACACTGAACTCCACAGTGACAGTTCCTGTGGACTAGCCTTGGTTCCCCCTATACGGAACTCCACAGTGACAGTTTCTGTGGACTAACCTTGGTTCCCCAAATACTGAACTCCACAGTGACAGTTCCTGTGGACTAGCCTTGGTTCCCCAAATACTGAACTCCACAGTGACAGTTCCTGTGGACTAGCCTTGGTTCCCCAAATACTGAACTCCACAGTGACAGTTCCTGTGGACTAGCCTTGGTTCCCCAAATACTGAACTCCACAGTGACAGTTCCTGTGGACTAGCATTGGTTCTCCCAATACTGAACTCCACAGTGACAGTTCCTGTGGACTAGCCTTGGTTCCCCCAATACTGAACTCCACAGTGACAGTTCCTGTGGACTAGCCTTGGTTCCCCCAATATTGAACTCCACAGTGACAGTTCCTGTGGGCTAGCCTTCGTCCCCCCTACACTGAACTCCACAGTGACAGTTTCTGTGGACTAGCCTTGGTTCTCCCTTAACTGAACTCCACAGTGACAGTTCCTGTGGACTAGCCTTGGTTCTCCCTAAACTGAACTCCACAGTGACAGTTCCTGTGGACTAACCTTGGTTCTCCCTAAACTGAACTCCACAGTGACAGTTCCTGTGGACTAACCTTGGTTCTCCCTAAACTGAACTCCACAGTGACAGTTCCTGTGGACTAGCCTTGGTTCTCCCTATACTGAACACCACAGTAACAGTTCCTGTGGACTAGCCTTGGTTCCTCCTATACTGAACTACCAAGTGACAGTTCCTGTGGACTAGCCTTGGTTCCTCCTATACTGAACTCCACAGTGACAGTTCCTGTGGGCTAGCCTTCGTTCCCCCTATACTGAACACCACAGTGACAGTTCCTGTGGACTAGCCTTGGTAACCCCTTAACTGAACTCCACAGTGACAGTTCATGTGGACAAGCCTTCATTCCCCCTATACTGAACACCACAGTGACAGTTCCTGTGGACTAGCCTTGGTTCCCCCAATACTGAACTCCACAGTGACAGCTTCTCAGGACTAACCTTGGTTCTCCCCCTACACAAAATTCCACAGTTACAGTTCCTGTGGACTAGCCTTGGTTCCCCCTACACTGAACTCCACAGTGACAGTTCCTGTGGACTAGTCTTGGTTCCCCATATATTGAGCACAACTGCGGCAGTTCCTGTGGACTAACCATGGTTCCTCCTATACTGAACACCACAGAGACAACTTCTCAGGGCTAACCTTGGTTCCCCCCCTACACAAAATTCCACAGAGACAGTTCCTGTGGACTAAGCTTGGTTCTCCCTATACTGATCACCGCAGTGACAGTTCCTGTGGACTGGCCTTGGTTCCCCCTACACTGAACTCCACAGTGACAGCTGCTGTGGACTAACCTTGGTTCCTCCTATACTGAACACCACACTGACTGTTCCTGTGAACTAGCCTTGGTTCTCCCTATACTGAACACCACACTGGCTGTTCCTGTGGACTAACCTTAGTTCTCCCTATACTGAACACCACAGTGACAGTTCCTGTGGACTAACCTTGGTCCTCCTTATACTGAACTCCACAGTGACAGTTCCTGTGGACTAACCTTGGTTCTCCCTATACTGAACACCACAGTGACAGTTCCTGTGGACTAACCTTGGTCCTCCCTATACTGAACACCACAGTGACAGTTCCTGTGGACTAACCTTGGTCCTCCCTATACTGAACTCCACAGTGACAGTTCCTGTGGACTAACCTTGGTTCTCCCTATACTGAACACCACACTGACTGTTCCTGTGGACTAACCTTGGTTCCTCCTATACTGAACACCACACTGACTGTTCCTGTGGACTAGCCTTGGTTCCTCCTATACTGAACACCACAGTGACTGTTCCTGTGGACTAACCTTGGTTCCTCCTATACTGAACACCACACTGACAGTTCCTGTGGACTAGTCTTGGTTCCCCATATACTGAACATCACACTGACTGTTCCTGTGGACTAACCTTGGTTCCTCCTATACTGAACACCACACTGGCTGTTCCTGTGGACTAACCTTGGTTCCTCCTATACTGAACACCACAGTGACTGTTCCTGTGGACTAACCTTGGTTCCTCCTATACTGAACACCACACTGACTGTTCCTGTGGACTAACCTTGGTTCTCCCTATACTGAACACCACACTGTCTGTTCCTGTGGACTAACCTTGGTTCCTCCTATACTGAACACCACACTGACTGTTCCTGTGGACTCACCTTGGTTCCTCCTATACTGAACACCCCACTGGCTGTTCCTGTGGACTAACCTTGGTTCCTCCTATACTGAACACCACAGTGACAGTTCCTGTGGACTAACCTTGGTTCCTCCTATACTGGACACCACACTGACTGTTCCTGTGGACTAACCTTGGTTCCTCCTATACTGAACTCCACAGTGACTGTTTCTCCAGGTTTGATTATGTCATTCTTGAACCCGGTGACTGTGATGGTGACTTCATCCCCCTCCTTCCACACTCTCTCTTCAGTGTTTTCCTGTACAACCTTGCCGCTGATGAACACTCTGTGCAGAGAACACATTCAACTGTGTTGAGAGGGCTGCTCTACTCATTTGACAGTATTTCAAGTTGAAGACTGAACGAACTGTTTTATAGAAAATCATAGTTCAGGAATCTCCACCAAACAGAATTTCCATGAGGACTAGAGTGTGATCATCCTCACCAAACCGAATTATCATGGGGACTAGGGAGGGATCATTCTCACCAAACTGAATTACCATGAGGACTAGAGAGAGATGATTTTCACAAAACAGAATTACCATGAGGACTAGAGAGTGATCATTCTCACTGAACAGAATTTGCATGACGACTTGAGAGAGATGATTCTCACAAAACAGAATTTCCATGAGGACTAGAGAGAGATCATTCTTGCCAAACAGTGAGTGAGTGAGTGAGTGAGTTTTACGCTGATTTTAGCAATATTCCAGCAATATCATGGCGGGGGACACCAGAAATGGGCTTCACACAGTGTACCCATGTCGGGGATCGAACCAGGGTCTCCGGCGTGACGCGCAAACGCTTTAACCACTAGGCTACCCGACCATCCCTCTTGCCAAATAGAATTTCCATGAGGACTAGGCGGAGATCACTCTTGCTAAACAGAATGTCCATCGGGGCTAGAGAAGGATCATTCTCACCACACAGAATTACCAAGAGGGAGGGATAGAGAAGGATCATTCTCACCTCCCATAATAACCAAGAGGGAGGGATAGAGAAGGATCATTCTCACCTCCCAGAATTACCAAGAGGGAGGGATAGAGAAGGATCATTCTCACCTCCCATAATAACCAAGAGGGAGGGATAGAGAAGGATCATTCTCACCACACAGAAGTACCAAGAGGGAGGGGTAGAGAAGGATCATTCTCACCACACAGAATTACCAAGAGGGAGGGGTAGAGAAGGATCATTCTCACGAAACAGAATTACCAAGAGGGAGGGATAGAGAAGGATCATTCTCACCACACAGAATTACCAAGAGGGAGGGCTAGAGAAGGATCATTCTCACCACACAGAATTACCAAGAGGGAGGGATAGAGAAGGATCATTCTCACCACACAGAATTACCAAGAGGGAGGGGTAGAGAAGGATCATTCACACCACACAGAATTACCAAGAGGGGGGGATAGAGAAGGATCATTCTCACCTCCCAGAATTACCAAGAGGGAGGGATAGAGAAGGATCATTCTCACCACACAGAATTACCAAGATGGGGGGATAGAGAAGGATCATTCTCACCTCCCAGAATTACCAAGAGGGGGGGATAGAGAAGGATCATTCTCACCTCCCAGAATTACCAAGAGGGAGGGCTAGAGAAGGATCATTCTCACCACACAGAATTACCAAGAGGGAGGGCTAGAGAAGGATCATTCTCACCATACAGAATTACCAAGAGGGAGGGCTAGAGAAGGATCATTCTTACCACACAGAATTACCAAGAGGGAGGACTAGAGAAGGATCATTCTCACCACACAGAATTACCAAGAGGGAGGGCTAGAGAAGGATCATTCTCACCACACAGAATAACCAAGAGGGAGGGATAGAGAAGGATAATTCTCACCTCCCACTATCTCCTTGGAGGGCTAGAGTGTCGTCTGTCATGCCGAGGTTCTTGTAGTACGCATAGTTCTCACGTCCGAGACCCAGACAGATCTTTGACTTCTCGCCCAGCTTCAGGATACGGAGAGTGCAGCTGTTGTTCTGTTGTGAGATCGGCAACTTGTTGGTACAGATACCCCCTCCATCATAGCACAGCCTGAAGGAGTAAGTGGGTGAGTGTGGATGAGTGAGTGAGTTAGTGTGTGGGTATGGGTGTGTGAGTGAGTAAGTGGGCGGGTGTGGGTATGGGTAATTGTGTGGGTGGGTATGGGTGAGTGAGTGAGTAAGTAAGTGGGTGGGTGTGGTTAAGTGAGTGAGTAAGTGGTTGGGTATGGGTGAGTGTGTGGGTGGGTATAGGTGAGTGAGTAGGTGGTTGGGTATAGGTGAGTGAGTGAGTGAGTAAGTGTGTGGGTATGGGTGAGTGTGTGAGTAAGTGTGTGGGTATGGGTGAGTGAGTAAGTGGGCGGGTGTAGGTGAGTAATTGTGTAGGTATGGGTGAGTGTTTGAGTGAGTAACTAAGTGGGTGGGTGTGGTTGAGTGAGTGAGTAAGTGGGTGGGTATGGGTGAGTGAGTGAGTAAGTGGGTGGGTGTAGATGAGTAAGTGTGTAGGTATGAGTGAGTGTGTGAGTGAGTAACTAAGTGGTTGGGTGTGGTTGAGTGAGTGAGTAAGTGGTTGGGTATGGGTGAGTGTGTGGGGGGGTATAGGTGAGTGAGTGAGTGGTTGGGTATAGGTGAGTGAGTGAGTGAGTAAGTGTGTGGGTATGGGTGAGTGTGTGAGTAAGTGTGTGGGTATGGGTGAGTGAGTAAGTGGGCGGGTGTAGGTGAGTAATTGTGTAGGTATGGGTGAGTGTTTGAGTGAGTAACTAAGTGGGTGGGTGTGTGTGAGTGAGTGAGTAAGTGGTTGGGTATGGGTGAGTGTGTAGGTATGGGTGAGTAAGTGAGTGGGTGTGGTTGAGTGAGTGGGTGTGGGTGAGTAAGTTAGTGTGGGTGAGTTAGTAAGTGAGTGTGAGTGAATGAGTAAGTGAGTTGGTGTGGGTGAGTTAGTGAGTGTGTGAGTGTAGGTGAGTTAGTGAGTGGATGTGGGTGAGTAAGTGAGTGTGGGTGAGTAAGTGAGTGTGTGAGTGTAGGTGAGTGAGTGAGTAAGTGAGTGGTCGTAGGTGAGTAAGTGAGTGGGTGTGGGTGAGTAAGTGAGTGTGGGTGAGTAAATAAGTGTGTGAGTGTAGGTGAGTGAGTGAGTAAGTGAGTGGGTGTGTGTGAGTGAGTGAGTAAGTGGTTGTGTATGGGTGAGTGTGTGGGTGGGTATAGGTGAGTGAGTGAGTGAGTGGTTGGGTAAAGGTGAGTGAGTGAGTTAGTAAGTGTGTGGGTATGGATGAGTGTGGGAGTAAGTGGTTGGGTATGGGTGAGTGTGTGGGTGGGTATAGGTGAGTGAGTGGTTGGGTATAGGTGAGTGAGTGAGTGAGTAAGTGTGTGGGTATGGGTGAGTGTGTGAGTAAGTGTGTGGGTATGGGTGAGTAAGTGTGTAGGTATGGGTGAGTGTGTGAGTGAGTAACTAAGTGGTTGGGTGTGGTTGAGTGAGTGAGTAAGTGGTTGGGTATGGGTGAGTGTGTGGGTGGGTATAGGTGAGTGAGTGAGTGGTTGGGTATAGGTGAGTGAGTGAGTGAGTAAGTGTGTGGGTATGGGTGAGTGTGTGAGTAAGTGTGTGGGTATGGGTGAGTAAGTGTGTAGGTATGGGTGAGTGTGTGAGTGAGTAACTAAGTGGGTGGGTGTGGTTGGGTGAGTGAGTAAGTGGGTGGGTATGGGTGAGTGTGTGGGTGGGTATAGGTGAGTGAGTGAGTGGTTGGGTATAGGTGAGTGAGTGAGTAAGTGTGTGGGTATAGGTGAGTGTGTGAGTAAGTGTGTGGGTATGGGTGAGTGAGTAAATGGGCAGGTGGAGGTGAGTAATTGTGTAGGTATGGGTGAGTGTTTGAGTGAGTAACTAAGTGGGTGGGTATGGTTGAGTGAGTAACTAAGTGGGTGGGTATGGTTGAGTGAGTGAGTAAGTGGGTGGGTATGGGTGAGTGCGTTAATAAGTGGTTGGGTATGGGTGAGTGAGTAAGTGGGCGGTATGGGTGAGTAATTGTGTAGGTATGGGTGAGTGTTTGAGTGAGTAACTAAGTGGGTGGGTGTGGTTGAGTGAGTGAGTAAGTGGGTGGGTGTAGGTGAGTAAGTGTGTAGGTATGAGTGAGTGTGTGAGTGAGTAACTAAGTGGTTGGGTGTGGTTGAGTGAGTGAGTAAGTGGTTGGGTATGGGTGAGTGTGTGGGTGGGTATAGGTGAGTGAGTGAGTGGTTGGGTATAGGTGAGTGAGTGAGTGAGTAAGTGTGTGGGTATGGGTGAGTGAGTAAGTGGGCGGGTGTAGGTGAGTAATTGTGTAGGTATGGGTGAGTGTTTGAGTGAGTAACTAAGTGGGTGGGTGTGGTTGAGTGAGTGAGTAAGTGGGTGGGTATGGGTGAGTGAGTGAGTAAGTGGGTGGGTGTGGGTGAGTAAGTGTGTAGGTATGAGTGAGTGTGTGAGTGAGTAACTAAGTGGTTGGGTGTGGTTGAGTGAGTGAGTAAGTAGTTGGGTATGGGTGAGTGTGTGGGTGGGTATAGGTGAGTGAGTGAGTGGTTGGGTATAGGTGAGTGAGTGAGGGAGTAAGTGTGTGGGTATGGGTGAGTGTGTGAGTAAGTGTGTGGGTATGGGTGAGTGAGTAAGTGGGCGGGTGTAGGTGAGTAATTGTGTAGGTATGGGTGAGTGTTTGAGTGAGTAACTAAGTGGGTGGGTGTGGTTGAGTGAGTGAGTAAGTGGGTGGGTATGGGTGAGTGAGTGAGTAAGTGGGTGGGTGTGGGTGAGTAAGTGTGTGGGATGGTGGGTGTGGGTGAGTAAGTGCATGGGTATCGGTGAGTGAGTAAGTGTGTAGGTATGGGTGAGTGTGTTGGTGAGTATGGGTGAGTGAGTGAGTATGTGGGTGGGTGTGGGTGAGTTAGTATGTGGGTGGGTGTGGGTGAGTAAGAACGTGGGTATGGGTGAGTGAGTAAGTGTGTAGGTATGGATGAGTGTGTTGTTGAGTATAGGTGAGTGAGTGAGTATGTGGGTGGGTGTGGGTGTGGGTGAGTGAGTGAGTAAGTGGGTGGGTGTGGGTGAGTGATTGAGTAAGTGGATGGGTGTAGGCGAGTGAGTAGGTGTGTGGGGATGGGTGAGTGAGTAAGTGTGTGGGTATGGGTGAGTGAGTAAGTGAATGGGTATGGGTGAGTGAGTAAGTGTATGGGTATGGGTGAGTGAGTAAGTGTATGGGTGAGGGAGTAAGGGTGTGGGTTAGTGTAGGTGAGTGAGTGAGTAAGTGTGTGGGTATGGGTGAGTAAGTGAGTGGGTGTGGTTGAGTGAGTGGGTGTGGGTGAGTAAGTTAGTGTGGGTGAGTGAGTAAGTGAGTGTGAGTGAGTGAGTAAGTGAGTTGGTGTGGGTGAGTAAGTGAGTGTGGGTGAGTTAGTGAGTGTTTGAGTGTAGGTGAGTTAGTGAGTAAGTGAGTGGATGTGGGTGAGTAAGTGAGTGTGGGTGAGTAAGTGAGTGTGTGAGTGTAGGTTAGTGAGTGAGTGAGTAAGTGAGTGGGTGTGTATGAGTGAGTGAGTAAGTGGTTGGGTATGGGTGAGTGTGTAGGTATGGGTGAGTAAGTGAGTGGGTGTGGTTGAGTGAGTGGGTGTGGGTGAGTAAGTTAGTGTGGGTGAGTTAGTTAGTGAGTGTGAGTGAATGAGTAAGTGAGTTGGTGTGGGTGAGTAAGTGAGTTGGTGTGGGTGAGTTAGTGAGTGTGTGAGTGTAGGTGAGTTAGTGAGTGGATGTGGGTGAGTAAGTGAGTGTGGGTGAGTAAGTGAGTGTGTGAGTGTAGGTGAGTGAGTGAGTAAGTGAGTGGTCGTAGGTGAGTAAGTGAGTGGGTGTGGGTGAGTAAGTGAGTGTGGGTGAGTAAATAAGTGTGTGAGTGTAGGTGAGTGAGTGAGTAAGTGAGTGGGTGTGTGTGAGTGAGTGAGTAAGTGGTTGTGTATGGGTGAGTGTGTGGGTGGGTATAGGTGAGTGAGTGAGTGAGTGGTTGGGTAAAGGTGAGTGAGTGAGTTAGTAAGTGTGTGGGTATGGGTGAGTGTGGGAGTAAGTGGTTGGGTATGGATGAGTGTGTGGGTGGGTATAGGTGAGTGAGTGAGTGGTTGGGTATAGGTGAGTGAGTGAGTGAGTAAGTGTGTGGGTATGGGTGAGTGTGTGAGTAAGTGTGTGGGTATGGGTGAGTAAGTGTGTAGGTATGGGTGAGTGTGTGAGTGAGTAACTAAGTGGTTGGGTGTGGTTGAGTGAGTGAGTAAGTGGTTGGGTATGGGTGAGTGTGTGGGTGGGTATAGGTGAGTGAGTGAGTGGTTGGGTATAGGTGAGTGAGTGAGTGAGTAAGTGTGTGGGTATGGGTGAGTGTGTGAGTAAGTGTGTGGGTATGGGTGAGTAAGTGTGTAGGTATGGGTGAGTGTGTGAGTGAGTAACTAAGTGGGTGGGTGTGGTTGGGTGAGTGAGTAAGTGGGTGGGTATGGGTGAGTGAGTGAGTAAGTGGTTGGGTATGGGTGAGTGTGTGGGTGGGTATAGGTGAGTGAGTGAGTGGTTGGGTATAGGTGAGTGAGTGAGTAAGTGTGTGGGTATAGGTGAGTGTGTGAGTAAGTGTGTGGGTATGGGTGAGTGAGTAAATGGGCAGGTGGAGGTGAGTAATTGTGTAGGTATGGGTGAGTGTTTGAGTGAGTAACTAAGTGGGTGGGTATGGTTGAGTGAGTAACTAAGTGGGTGGGTATGGTTGAGTGAGTGAGTAAGTGGGTGGGTATGGGTGAGTGAGTTAATAAGTGGTTGGGTATGGGTGAGTGGGTATGGGTGAGTAATTGTGTAGGTATGGGTGAGTGTTTGAGTGAGTAACTAAGTGGATGGGTGTGGTTGAGTGAGTGAGTAAGTGGGTGGGTATGGGTGAGTGAGTGAGTAAGTGGTTGGGTATGGGTGAGTGTGTGGGTGGGTATAGGTGAGTGAGTGAGTGGTTGGGTATAGGTGAGTGAGTGAGTAAGTGTGTGGGTATAGGTGAGTGTGTGAGTAAGTGTGTGGGTATGGGTGAGTGAGTAAATGGGCAGGTGGAGGTG